AGGCGGAAGTTTGGAAGGAACTCCAACTCTTGAAGCGCTACAAATCACCGGGTCTAGATTACTTACCTCCGGCTCTTTTTAAATATGGTGGTGACTTTCTGGCTAAGGAACTGTTGACGTTGTTTACAAAGGTCTGGGGGCTCGGGAGTGTACTAACGTCATGAAATGAGTCGATAGTTGTCTCTATCTTTTAAAACGGTTCACGTTGTTCCTGTAATAACAATCGGGGTGTAAGTCTGTAGTGGCATTGGACCATAACCACACAATCTTCAAAGCTGAACACAACACTACTCGGAAAATAGATATTCAATATTTAACACGGAGAAATACCTAACGATGGAAAGGGCGGGAACAATGAATGGAATGAACTGGAGTTGATCGGATGGCATGACTCGGCCATGCAGGCGTGGTCTCTGCTGAATGTTACCTTATATCTTCTATTCATATTAAATATATTGTTCTTTCTCTAGCCTAACCTTGTTCTACATAATGTATTGGTAATTGATACGATACAGTGAGTTGGTGTAGTCGATGGTGTGACTTCCACGTAAGATCTTATAGATTAGGCAGTTATATTATGACGAATCTACAAATTTAGGATTGGGTCTATTATTAGAGCAGTACTAATATCATAGTAGACCATAATTCTACATTGGTGAGCCCAAATAAAGAAACGCAGCCTATTATTGCTAATCCGGCGAGACTCTAATTTAGGGACGAGCCAGTCAGAAGCGTTCGAGCAATTTCAAGGTCACGGAGCCAAGTTCAACACGCGCTGCTAACATACGATCGGTTCACAGCGGATTTTAGAGAGTAGGTGATTAATGAGAAGTTACAACAGATGGGACGGCGAAACTCTAATTCAGGGACGAGCCAATGAGAAGCGTTTGAGCAATTTCAATTATTAGCCAATCAGAAGACAGTATAAAGTAAAAATATATATCAAGAAAGTAATGAATTACAGTGGATATTCTTCGTTTACATGATTTAAAAACTTGTTGAGGTTTGATAAAGACTCAGAAGTTCTGAATTCATAATGCATATTGTATAGAAACTCGTCCATAGGGTTAGGGTTTGGGGTTAAAATTAGGGTTAATGTTAGGGTTTAGGGCTAACGTTAGGGTTTTTGGGTTAGATTAGGGTTTAGGGTTAGGGTTAAGTTTGGTTAGGGTTAGGGTTAGGGTTAGATTAGGATTTAGGGTTAGGTTAGGGTTAGAGTGCTAACACGCGATCTGTTTACATCGGATTTTAGAGAAGATGTGTCTACTTACAGGCTACAACCCAAGCTACCAGCTTTGGGGAATTTCGGGGAAATCCCCAAAATGAAATAGTTTTCCCCAAACTTTGGGGAAAATCCCCAAAATTGCCGTAGCGCATTTTTGCACACTAACATTTCATCGACATAATATAAATAAGCCTCAGTAGTAAATTTGAATAGAGAAATTTACATTTTAATTCAATACAGACTTTTGATGAGGGATAATCTATCGAATTCCAGGTCTTGTTTTAATACATTAACAATCAGTAGACAAAGAGTTGTCGGTTTTAAAGCACGTTTTCAAAATTTCAAAGCCATGCAGGTGGGAAAATTTGGTTGCTGTCTATGTTCAGTTTTACTTGAGTGAATTATTTCTTTCAGAATAATAATAGACAGCTCGATAAGATTGGGAAAAGGCGGGCAGCAGACACGAAATACCCTAGGTTGTTTGGCTGTTCCCGATCAACCTATTACAGAAGGTTGAGGGAAATAAAAGCACAGTTTATAAAAAAGTGTCCGTTACCGAGCTGTGACGAAGAGACAAACAATCCAGTTGTCGTCACAGAATCGTGTACTACCGTAGCTACAGAGCAGTGGGCTAATATTGTCACAGATACAGCTACTGCTTCATGTAGTCACGTCCAGTGTTCAGACAACACAATCAACGGTAGTATCTGTTGAATTATTAAAATCTTATAGGTTGTGTGATTTCAGAAATGTCCCCAGCCATTCATCTTTCGGTGAAAGACGAGTTAGACAAAATGGTCATTGAAATAATGAAAGGTGGTTATATAAGCATAAAGAAGGCTGATCAAATATTGGACATTTTTCGTGCGCGGTATCCAGAACTTCCAACGTCCGTCCGAAGTGTTCTACGTCGATGCAACGACGTGGAGCCTAAGATCCTAAATTCTGGAACGTATGACCATTTAGGATTAAAATCCAGTCTTTTGAGAATTTCAGGACATTGGCTTCGTCGAATCCGTTTCAACGAATTGCATTTGCAGTTAAACTACGATGGTCTAAGTTTGTTCAAAAGCTCTAACCAACAGCTGTGGCCGATCCTAGGTCGCATAGTAGCTCCACTAGTTAGTAGTGTTTTCGTAGTTGGGATCTACGGTGGTGAAGTAAAACCATCTGATTTCAACGACATGTCAGCAACACTTATAACAGAGTTACAGGAGTTGCTGACAGTAGGTATTAATATAGATAAGTATCACCTACATTTAACAGTTAAATTAGTTGCTGTTATTTGTGACGCTCCAGCTCGCAGCAACGTCAAGTACATTGTGGGACACAATGGTTTCGCTGGCTGTGACAAATGTCAGGTTTTAGGGACGCGAATGGGTGGTCGAATGACTTTCCCCAATGGTGAACACGACTTAAGAAATGATGTCACTTTTCGTAGTAGGTCCCAATCTATCCATCATCGTGGTACAAGTTCATTTGAAAATCTGCCAGTGGATATGATTAAACGTTTCCCCTTTGAACCCATGCATATGATTTACTTAGGTGTTACCAAAAAACTTGTTTCATTATGGAAGGAGCTAGCTATTAAGCGACTTAATGGGATGGATCAATCAATCATCGCATCAATAAACGATGCTCTAGACTCATGATATCAGTGAGCACGAAATTGTTGACGGTATTGATGTTGACAGTCGATTCAACGTGAGAATATGTGCCGTTGTGCATCGTTGTGGTAAGTTGTAATCAATTAACATTTATTGTTTTCAGACAACTACAATGTAGCCCAGCAATTAAAAGTGTGTTTAGCAACAGTACTGGGCTACAATACTAACATCACGACTAACGATGAAACGCAGCCTTGTGACGCTGAAAAAACAAAAAGGTTAATTGTTCAACTTATTATATCATTTTTGTTAGAATTGTCAAACGAAAGCACAAGGATTATCTATGCACCTCTGAAGAACTAGAGGTTGAGGCTGGATTTGCCCCGGTGGAATTTCCAGTTGTCATTTCAAGAGGAACCTTTTCTCCGATTGCGAGGTTTGTACCTACTTTATCAAAACTCATATATCAGTTCATCGAAAGCTGACTTTTCACTGAACTATCTAGCAAGATGGACAGACTGATCGCTGTATGCGAACGCTTAGCCATGGGTGTAATCGACAGGCGTACAGAGGAAATGGATAGTGATGCTATACATTTCCCATTAAGAACGCATGAGGAGTTGCGTTCTTTAGAGGCAGCTTTAGAAAACCAAAAATACCGAGATCATTTCGTAAGTTGTAAAACATGTTTGGATAAACTTTAGGTGGTAAGATTATGCAACTTAATGTGTGACAATACTCGGAAATCAGCTAAAGCTTGTCTTCAATACCTCCTGTCGCCGGAACTCGCGAACACTTACACTTTGCACGGAACCAGAAGAAAATTCGGGATTAATAAATACAAATTTTACTCCACGGTTTAAAGTAAGTCCACATTACTGTATCAACATATTTGTAGGTGCTTTGTGTTCACACTTCCGGAGTGCGACCTGTTCGGAAAAGGAGATCACGCACGCCACGGCTACAGCAAGCCAGGCCTTCTTGCATGACACAAGAGATAAAGTACATAAATGTGGATGGCGATCCAAAGAAAGGGTGAGCTAAAACTACTTAATATGTTTGTTATAATACATATGTTAACTTTGTCACACATTGTTCCTACTCGTTCCCCTTCCTACTGTTTTGTATATTGTTTAATACCACTTAATCAAATGCATTATTCAGTTGTATTCCGAATAACTAAAGTTCACTTTAGGGATTTCCCCAAAATTCACAGGATGTTAATCATCATTGTATTTATCACTATAATCACTGTATTTTAATTACTGTAACAGCTTATTACTTTGTGATCAATACTCAAAGTGATATAACTTGTCTCTTGTATGTTTCCCTTTCAGCTGGCTTCGCATTCCCCCAAAATGGACTCAATTTTCCCCAAAGTATGGAACCTGGGAATCCTAACCACTAACCCTATGGATGGGTTTCTATACAATATGCATTATGAATTCAGAGCCTCTGAACCTTTATCAAACCTTAACAAGTTTTTAAATCATGTACAAGAAGAATATCCACTGTAATTCATTACTTACAATATCCCAGGCTCCCAACTTTGGGGAAAATTGAGTCCATTTTGGGGAAGCCGCTATAATAAATTTTGGGGAAATGAGAAAAAAAAACCCAAAATTTCCCCAGACCTGGGTAACTTTTTGGTAATTTCGGGTGACTTTGGGGGAATTTTGGGTAACCTTGGGGAAATTCTGGGTAACTTTGGGGAAATCCCCAAAGTGAACTTCAGTTATCGGGAATACAATTGACTACTGAATTTTTGTAAGTAGTATAAAATAATATACCAAAGAACAAATAGACTATGGTTACGTCTGTTAAAGCCTGCGAAGCCAGGTGAAAGGGAAACGAACACGATAGCTATATGATTTTGGGGAAGCTTCCCTAAACCTTTGGGTTTTCCTGGAAAACTGTTTTAACGCAAAAGCTTCACGAAAGCCTATCGACATCACAGAATACCTAGGGAGAATGCTTACGTACACTTCTTACTGCGATGTTTAATTACTTTTCGTCAATCACGCATTGCTAATGAAACCTAATGTTAACAGATTTATCGCGATTAAGAAAAGACTGATTTATGAAATATATAAATGTTTATTACAGTTAATGAAATTACAAATGAATCATTTATAAAAAGTTTTTCTATGCGTTGTAACAGCAACACCTTACGTAGACGTAGAACTGTCATTGATAATGTTCTAAAAAATAAATAAATAAATCACTTTTAGTGTATAATAACGTGTCAAGATATGTGAAAGGTTGGTGATGTACCAACAATATAACAATGTTCTTAATAATGCGAACAAAGAACTTACAATAACGTCTGATAAAGCCTGCGAAGCCAGCTGAAAGGGAAACATACAAGAGACAAGTTATATCACTTTGAGTATTGATCACAAAGTAATAAGCTGTTACAGTAATTAAAGTACAGTGATTATAGTGATAAATACAATGATGATTAACATCCTGTGAATTTTGGGGAAATCCCTAAAGTGAACTTTAGTTATTCGGAATACAACTGAATAATGCATTTGATTAAGTGGTATTAAACAATATACAAAACAGTAGGAAGGGGAACGAGTAGGAACAATGTGTGACAAAGTTAACATATGTATTATAACAAACATATTAAGTAGTTTTAGCTCACCCTTTCTTTGGATCGCCATCCACATTTATGTACTTTATCTCTTGTGTCATGCAAGAAGGCCTGGCTTGCTGTAGCCGTGGCGTGCGTGATCTCCTTTTCCGAACAGGTCGCACTCCGGAAGTGTGAACACAAAGCACCTACAAATATGTTGATACAGTAATGTGGACTTACTTTAAACCGTGGAGTAAAATTTGTATTTATTAATCCCGAATTTTCTTCTGGTTCCGTGCAAAGTGTAAGTGTTCGCGAGTTCCGGCGACAGGAGGTATTGAAGACAAGCTTTAGCTGATTTCCGAGTATTGTCACACATTAAGTTGCATAATCTTACCACCTAAAGTTTATCCAAACATGTTTTACAACTTACGAAATGATCTCGGTATTTTTGGTTTTCTAAAGCTGCCTCTAAAGAACGCAACTCCTCATGCGTTCTTAATGGGAAATGTATAGCATCACTATCCATTTCCTCTGTACGCCTGTCGATTACACCCATGGCTAAGCGTTCGCATACAGCGATCAGTCTGTCCATCTTGCTAGATAGTTCAGTAACCGCTTTTAGGATAGTTCTGAACATGTGATGTATATCACCGCTCAAACTTTTGTTATCAAGAATAAAGTAAATGCAACTAACGGTTTATCACCTTCAGTCGACGTACGTAGAATCGCTGGTGATGAAAAGTCAGCTTTCGATGAACTGATATATGAGTTTTGATAAAGTAGGTACAAACCTCGCAATCGGAGAAAAGGTTCCTCTTGAAATGACAACTGGAAATTCCACCGGGGCAAATCCAGCCTCAACCTCTAGTTCTTCAGAGGTGCATAGATAATCCTTGTGCTTTCGTTTGACAATTCTAACAAAAATGATATAATAAGTTGAACAATTAACCTTTTTGTTTTTTCAGCGTCACAAGGCTGCGTTTCATCGTTAGTCGTGATGTTAGTATTGTAGCCCAGTACTGTTGCTAAACACACTTTTAATTGCTGGGCTACATTGTAGTTGTCTGAAAACAATAAATGTTAATTGATTACAACTTACCACAACGATGCACAACGGCACATATTCTCACGTTGAATCGACTGTCAACATCAATACCGTCAACAATTTCGTGCTCACTGATATCATGAGTCTAGAGCATCGTTTATTGATGCGATGATTGATTGATCCATCCCATTAAGTCGCTTAATAGCTAGCTCCTTCCATAATGAAACAAGTTTTTTGGTAACACCTAAGTAAATCATATGCATGGGTTCAAAGGGGAAACGTTTAATCATATCCACTGGCAGATTTTCAAATGAACTTGTACCACGATGATGGATAGATTGGGACCTACTACGAAAAGTGACATCATTTCTTAAGTCGTGTTCACCATTGGGGAAAGTCATTCGACCACCCATTCGCGTCCCTAAAACCTGACATTTGTCACAGCCAGCGAAACCATTGTGTCCCACAATGTACTTGACGTTGCTGCGAGCTGGAGCGTCACAAATAACAGCAACTAATTTAACTGTTAAATGTAGGTGATACTTATCTATATTAATACCTACTGTCAGCAACTCCTGTAACTCTGTTATAAGTGTTGCTGACATGTCGTTGAAATCAGATGGTTTTACTTCACCACCGTAGATCCCAACTACGAAAACACTACTAACTAGTGGAGCTACTATGCGACCTAGGATCGGCCACAGCTGTTGGTTAGAGCTTTTGAACAAACTTAGACCATCGTAGTTTAACTGCAAATGCAATTCGTTGAAACGGATTCGACGAAGCCAATGTCCTGAAATTCTCAAAAGACTGGATTTTAATCCTAAATGGTCATACGTTCCAGAATTTAGGATCTTAGGCTCCACGTCGTTGCATCGACGTAGAACACTTCGGACGGACGTTGGAAGTTCTGGATACCGCGCACGAAAAATGTCCAATATTTGATCAGCCTTCTTTATGCTTATATAACCACCTTTCATTATTTCAATGACCATTTTGTCTAACTCGTCTTTCACCGAAAGATGAATGGCTGGGGACATTTCTGAAATCACACAACCTATAAGATTTTAATAATTCAACAGATACTACCGTTGATTGTGTTGTCTGAACACTGGACGTGACTACATGAAGCAGTAGCTGTATCTGTGACAATATTAGCCCACTGCTCTGTAGCTACGGTAGTACACGATTCTGTGACGACAACTGGATTGTTTGTCTCTTCGTCACAGCTCGGTAACGGACACTTTTTTATAAACTGTGCTTTTATTTCCCTCAACCTTCTGTAATAGGTTGATCGGGAACAGCCAAACAACCTAGGGTATTTCGTGTCTGCTGCCCGCCTTTTCCCAATCTTATCGAGCTGTCTATTATTATTCTGAAAGAAATAATTCACTCAAGTAAAACTGAACATAGACAGCAACCAAATTTTCCCACCTGCATGGCTTTGAAATTTTGAAAACGTGCTTTAAAACCGACAACTCTTTGTCTACTGATTGTTAATGTATTAAAACAAGACCTGGAATTCGATAGATTATCCCTCATCAAAAGTCTGTATTGAATTAAAATGTAAATTTCTCTATTCAAATTTACTACTGAGGCTTATTTATATTATGTCGATGAAATGTTAGTGTGCAAAAATGCGCTACGGCAATTTTGGGGATTTTCCCCAAAGTTTGGGGAAAACTATTTCATTTTGGGGATTTCCCCGAAATTCCCCAAAGCTGGTAGCTTGGGATATTCTCACTTTATACTAACTGTCTCCTGATTGGCTAATAACTGTCAAGGCCACTTAAGATTCGTTCAAAGGTCGTCCTTAAATTGGAGTCTCGCCGCTAATCCTTAGATCCACCATAACCTTCTCAATCGATTTTTATTTGTGTAAATCCATTATTCTAATAGTCCTCTGATTAATGTTCACATATATTATCGTATTGTTATATCTATTAGTTCTTATAACTTACTAGCTCAATCGATAATAAAAGTTGATCATCTATATCAAGTAATTAGCTTTGATAGTTCGTTAACAAGCTTTAATAGCATTTACATGCTTCAGCGACATAGACTTGTTTAAACATCAAGCTCTAGCAAATATGACCTGTAAATATACATTGACTAACAATGCAATCAAGGATTGAATAGTTATCTGGATCTAATTCTTAGTGTTCCTTATCTTAACACCTCATCCTGTTTTAAACTATGCATTATCCTGTAATATCTTTTCTTCCGACCACTGCCTGCCTAATTTCATATTCTCGAGTTCCATTGCCAAACAACAAGGATGACACTTCTCCAAAAACATACGATGGCTCGTTCAATAACAAACACACAATTATCTGGATTCATTCGATTGTTCTGATCCGAGCGACTGGAAAAAACCTCAACAGCATCAAGCACCCTGGAAGTGAATGCCATACTACATGTTTTATTCTGGATCATTACTACTCCTTACGAATGGCGTTATATATGTCGTACACTGAATAATCTAATTTTCAAGAATAACCCAGGCGAGTTCAGTTATTTTACTTAATGATTTTTTGTACTTAACATGTATGTGTTTTCTAGTTGCTTTTGCCATATTTTTGTAAGTGTCCGTAGGCTAAATGCGGTTCATAACGCATCATATTCCTGCCTGAAGTTTCACAAGCAGTCTTAACTTTAAAATTATTTTCTGGTCATCTTCATTATTTTTAAACCGTCATATACGTCAACAACCTGCTTGTTAACCTGGCCCATACATACGTTACACTATATCTTCATGTTTTCTAAATTTAGGAATCATCTGAATCGCCTTTAACATTTATCAATAAGCCCATCATAGTCGTTGTTGCTAATCATATTTGGGTTTATGGATTTGTTTATCATATTAGCAGTCTAAAATGCGAACATAGTTTAGATAATAAGATGAAAGATTTAGGTACTATGAACTGCACTAGTAAAATAACTAAATCCCCAGGTAGCTGTTAGCTAAACAAACATTTAAAATCAAAACTCCGTAGCCTACTAGAATTAACACTAAACGAATCTTTTTGAATTAAAATTTATAATTAAATTAGGCGTCTCGGATTCTTTAACGTTATAAATTTCTGATAATTTCGAATCACCTAAAGCAACAATACCTATTTTTCCACTGACTTATCCTCAATCAACACTATAACTAGTTAAATTTAATAGTTTCAGGATATCGTCATAAAGCATTGTCATGACTTGACAATCACGTAATACGATTGATAAAATTAATGAAACTATTAACAAAATCGGTCAGCAAATTGACTTATCATTATCACTAGTGTTGTTTTCTTGGTATCTTCATTCGCTACAGATGATTACAGTATGTTTCTCTATCAGTTGCTTATTCAGTAAATATCTCAAAACCTTGTCAGTCTAATTGGAGGTTTAGCGACACAATAATGCATGCAAATAATCAACATAAGCAGTCGAGCAAATCTCCTGCAAACTGAAAACATCAATGTCGAATTTACCCCAACACTGACTAAGGTTCAAGCCATTATCATAGACGTGAGTTGGGAGTGTACTCCCCTTGTTTACAACTTGTGTTCTTCCTGATAATCACATGAGCATCACTCACTGTTAATCACCTTGTAAAAGTTTATTTAGCCGAATACATCCTGCAGCACCACATCACCTAGTAATATGACAGATAGGCCTAACTGATTTCAATAACTTATAACCACTATATCTCAATTAAATCGTATTCCGCC